GAGGGTGTCTATTCGTTTGACCATTCGTGTGCAGAATAATTGTTATTCTAGTCAAGAGTCGATATGTGAAAATAAAAGACTTCGAGAATCGACAAATCGTGAATTCACTGACCTCGACATCTCGAATTAAGATGCTTCTTAAAAGCTCTTTCTTCTAAATCAGAAAATGTATATTATTATATAGCAGACACCATGCTTTTTCGTAAAAGCTCAAATATTTCACAGAAGATAGGTTAACCAAATTCCGAAATATTATAATAATTAAATAAATTAGAAATATAATTATGTAATAATTATTAATTATTATATAATTATATACAATTTATGTTGTTAATAAATATTGCACGAAGGATTATCCGAAGAGTTTCATGGTCACATTGACGAAAAATTTAGTGTCGTACTCGAGTGGTCAACGAAGAATGAAAATTAGAAAAAGAAAATGTTCCTTGCTCTATAACACACACGCACGCACACGCGCAGAATCGCTTAGAAATTAGAGGTGAATTTACGCATATATCTTACGGTGTCGATAATATTAGGGTTTTTACGTGCCGTATTCGATAAGCCTACGTAGAAAATATAAATGTATTTATATATGCAGAATATAATCCGATTCTCTGTTTCTCTCTTTTTTTTTTTTCTTATTTTTGCATTATGTACACCGCCACTGTCCATCGTCCTTGACGTTCGTGGCATACTCGAATTGTACGATTTCGTTTCATGCGTTCGCCTGTATACAATACGAGTGGTATACAGGGTGTTCGTTGCTTGATGTAAATATTTAAAGTCATACCAATGTATTAGGAAACACGTCGAAGAATATTCTTTGAATATTTGTTTCGACCTCCTTGGTCAGACATTTGTGGTGCTATGATATTTTCAATGGTTTGGAAAGGTTCGAGGTAAAGTACCTTCGATAAAGGTCGATTACCTATAAGACTAGAAAAAAGGAAAAATGAACGAAAATTGAAAGAAACAGAGGGATACGTGGAACGAGATTAAACGTGACTCGTGTTAATCCTGGAAAGCTAATTACTTCATGTAGTATTATGGAATAATTTTATTTTATATATCATTTTCCTTATGTTAGTGAAAACGATGAGATATTAATCCTTAACTACCGATGGACTTTATGTAAATAAATTTTTCTTTTCGATACATTTTAAACCATATCTCTTTCTACGTAACAGTTAGTATGATATTAATTTTGACAAGAGAAGGCAATTACTCACTAGAGGGCAGGAAGAAGTGGCTGGGGAGCCCAGCAAAAGCTCAGGCTGCTCAATCTATGAATCGACGACAGAGGAAACTAGCGCCGAAGAGCCCCCTAAGCTTCCAAATCATACTTGAAAAGGAATGTTCAGGGCGGACATTCTAGCCGGAAGGCTAGAAAAATATAATTACTTCTTCCTTTTAGAAAGGTAGATACTATAGTCAGCCAAAAGGGAGCAAGCTGATTACGCAAACATAGAAATCATATAGGAAACTTGGAAACTGATTGAAATAGAAGTCGCGAGTATAGGCCTTGAGACAGGGAAGCAAGATAAGCTTCCTGATAGAGCTGCAATAGGAAAGCTCTACGGGGACCTGTGGGGATACCAAGGACCAACCATAGGTCTCCTGAAACTCGGAGAGGGTCCGAGTACAACTACACCTATTGGCAATACTCTTAAACCCATCACAGTAGCTGCATTGATTATTAAGATGAGGAAAATTAAAACAGACATAGCTTCTCCCATCTGCCTAAAATTGATTTTCTGTACCTGCTGTTCAAATTTTATAATTTACTGATTTTTAAAATGTATTATCCAGCACAATGTTGTCTAAATAGAAGTACTCTCGTACCACGAGCAGGAAAAACCACAGAGGACGTCAAGAATTGGAGACCAATAACGATCAGACCTCTAATGAGCCAGATATAATCAGTCATGTTGGACAGCAGGTTAAGAGAAACAGTACAAAATCACATTCACCAGTAAGGTTCTACAAAAGAACACGAATACCTGCTTATGCTATATTATTATTGCTATCTTGTCGAGAGCTCTAGCAGAGATAAAAGATAAAAGAGGTGGTACAGTGACGGTCGTCGATCTCTCTAAGGCATTCGATACCGTAACTCACGCGGCTATTGATGATGGTTTCAAAATCAAAGACATTCCAGCAGCCATCACGCAGTACATAATGTCCGTGTACGAGGGCTGTAAAAGGAGAATTGAGCATGGACAGGACGATATAGCGATTGATCTCAAAAGGGGAGCAAAACAGGACGCTCTCCCCATTGATTTTTCACTTAACACATGATCCAATAATGGGACAAATGGACGAGATCACGTAGAGCATATACCTGGGAGATGAGAGAGTCTCCGTCTTGGTGTTCACGGATGACTTGGTCCTGTTAGGTAAAGACGGGAAGGAGTCTACCCAAGCTATCCAAATACCGGTACTTTTGTTTAGTCCTGAATTTAAATAAACTTAGACTCATAAGCTTAGGGACACTATTGGATGTCAATAGTTAAGGATTAACTATAGATTGAATTTAAAAATTTTATCAACATGTTACATGTCTCATTGATCTCACGTATCCTCGATAATACTTCACAGTAACTTTTATACATAAGACAAAAAGTTTATACAAAAATACGGCACATAATTCCTCTATAACGTAGAGCACATAACCAAAGTTATAAAATAAATTTCAAAACAAATGAAACGAAGTAAAACATTTCACGCGAATTTATCCGAACAAAGGATGATTTGCTACAACTTCCCATACAATTTTCAGCGAAACGTATTTACATGAAAGCCTCATCAAGAATTAAAGACCACGAACACCCTGTACAGCCACGATTCGTGTGATTGCTCCATCCGTGCTCGTCGAAGATCGCTGAATTCACGAGAATTCGCTGCACGCAAAAAGGAACAGAGCTACGGGTAGTAGACGATGCTTCGACGTTTACAAAACATACACACACGTGTACAACATTCTCGCGTACACCGACGGGGTTGCGCGTTTGTGCTAGAAATCGAGAAAGGGAAAAAACGAGAAAAAAGAGAAAAAAAAGAATAGGAAAAACGATCGTTTCGAGTAAAGTATGTATAGAACTCGACAGCGCGTTTCGTAGAACGCGTGTACCCACGCGTACACCCGGTTATGTCTCGATTCCCTTCTAACTAGGCTAGCAATAAGTTCTTTCAAAGTCCGTGATTAACGAATAACGTTAAAGCTTAATAATTGATCGTTATTACCAGCAGAGACTAGAAGTTGTATCTGTATGTGTGTATATATATATGTAATAATATATATATATATATATGTGTGTGTATAATATATGTATATAAGCCTATAGAGATATATCTCGTCTAGGAAGTTTCTCTTTATTTGCTTATTGTTCCTCTCTATTAATCCTAGTTGGCCCAAGTGATGTTCCCAATGCGTTTGCGTCTGTTTCTCCGGCGTGCTAAGCAGCCTCTTCCTTCTTCTATCCTCTTCCGTCAACAGCCCTCCTAACTACCAACCTTCTTATCACGTTTCTGTCATACAGTAACACACGTGTATCTTTGATAAATCCTTTCCCGTTCACTTCTGGATCGTTCAACTCGTCCGGAACCTCGGCCTGCTGGCTCCATCCTGAGAAGAACGCTCGATCGGCCGACGCGGTGAATCGATAAAATCTTCATCAGCACCAACGAAGAACTCCTTATTGTGTCTCGTTACCTTATAATTTCTTCTCTAATTTTATCTTTGTTTATCTTTGTCTAACTTCGTTTGTTTTCGTTAGTTTCTTCCCGTCCATCGTTCCGTTCTAACGCCACCGCCGCGTTTCGTAATCGTTCCAAGTATTCGGTACAAGAGAACAATCGTTCCTGTGCGTTTAGCGTGATCGTTTTGTGAAGGCTATTCCCCGAGGACCACTGATCCTGCGTAGCGGAAGTATCGAAGCAACGACGTTTCCACGTCGAGCGAGCTCCGTTCCCGTCGACCCGTACCAATTTCCGTTCCCTTTGGACCTGCATCGACTTATCCCGGGAGAAATGCGTCCGCAGGGCTGGAGGAAACGCATTTCTTTTGATCCTTTGTGTCCTTTCTCTCTTTTCTCTCACGAGGTACGAACGGTATCAAAGGAAACGATATTTTCTGGTCTTCTTACTTCCTTGCTTATTTTTTCCTCCTTTTTTTGGTTTCTCTTGGTGATTTTATAAAGGAGTTTCACACGTGAGACGATTTTCCGATTACTCGCGAATGCTTTGCTTCGATTCATCTTTGTTCGTTCAGGTATCTCTCTCTCTCTCTCACGCGCACGTTCCGCTGAAAATCGAATTAGTTGGTTAAGTGATGGAATCCTGAAGGTTTCGTTGCTTCCATTGCTAGCCTTTCGATTTGTTTCCTGTTTTCACGTTTAATTCCATTTTCTTGACCCTGTAACTTTTCTTTGTCTTCTAAAATTCGTTATTTTTAAATTCGTTTTTTTCCATTAAGTCTAATATTTTTCGAATTTTTTCCCAATTCATCGTTATTTTTAATATTTCTAACTCGCAGCATCTCTCATTAGCACTCTTCACGATTTACTCCTTGTTCCAGTATTCTCCACAAATTTTCGCGGGTAGCTACTTATTATCCTACTTACATCCTACATCCTCATCCCTCTTCCAAAAGCTTCAAAATTCTTCGCGACTCGTCGCAACTTTCGATACTTCTAACGACTCATTGCTTCTTCCAGCACCCTTCAAAATTCTCCACGATTCGTCGTGATTTTTCCTATTCCGAGTCGGTTCTCCATCGTCTTCTTCTATCATCGTCAGCAACAGCAAGCAGGACAAAAAGTCGAGAAATGAGGAGAGAAGACTTGAGAGAGAGAATTGAGAAAAAATCGTCCGTGTCTCCAGTTTCCTTTGAACATTCCATGTATCTCGAATCTCGAGGCTGGATCCCGCGAATCTCGAAGCCGATCGGGGACATCGATTCAACCGCTTTTGTTGAGCATGTTCGCGGTGACGCTGGTTATGGTAACACGGGGCAAAGTCCACGGGATTGCCGGTGATCGCGAAACAGATGGCACGAGCTCGCCAGGGGCTTTCTGTTACACGTCGTCCTCTATACTCCTCAGGGGTATTTGTTGCTTTTGTGCCACCGCGTTCAGCACGTAGACCAGCTGGTCCAATTTCTTGTCCATCACGGACAACTGCGGACAGAAATAGTTTCCATGTAAGAATCAATCTTCTCACTTCGGGGCTGTGGATAGAAGAATCTCTGCCCTGCGGGTGAGAGGCATTTCTCTCTTCTCACTTTCTTTTCGTTTCTCTTCTCTATTTTTTCTCCCCCCTTTTTTTTTTTTAATTTTCTGTATTTAGTTTTATTTTCTTGGAAGTTTTATTTCCGGAGATCAAGAAGGGAAGATTAATGCATCGAGTTTGGAGGGGTGAACACAAGGGTGGGAAAAAGGTTTTGTGTTTTGGCCTTGTTTTCCTTTACGGAGGGATGCTTTTCTTATTGCGCTGCTTTACCTTGGCGTGGTTCTTTTAATTTTGAAGAATGGTACAGGCTTTTAGGAGGTGATTGATGGTTAAAAGTCGTTCAGCAAAGAGAGAGAATGTTGAGAACGGACTCGGTTGAAGGAGATGGCTGATAGCTTGATTTCTGGTATTGTGCGTGCTTCTTGCTACTGATCGTTGGTAATTAGAGGGTGAAAGAGGAATAAAATTGTGGAATTTTAAGATAAATGTTTCCTGAATGTTATATTTGCTCGTTTTTGTTGGAAGGTGATTGATTTCTGAGAGAATACACGATCTAGCTTCTTCCTTATTGATAAATATCGAACTGCGTAACCTACTTTCCCATCCATTGAGGCAATTCTGATAAAATTTTGATCGAATACTCTGCTAATAGTCTCAAATCAATGGAATATTAAGCATTTACACGAATCTTCAAGAAAAGAAGATTTATATAAATTTAAGTATTCAATTCTCGGAGAAAGAAATGAAAATGAATAAAAATATTCTTTCGTCACTGGAATTTCAATTTTAATATAAAATATCGCGCATTTTTACAACTGAGAATTTAAATAAATATATATTTCGCTATTCGAGATTTATATTTACAAAGTTGGCAACAAAAGAAAATGAGTCAGTTTAATTTCCCTTAATTGTAAATCGTCTTGAGTAATGAAGGTGTAAACAAAATCTTGATGAAAAGCGAACGTATTTCTTTATATTAAATTCCTTTATATTTTATTTTTCTACAATTATAATCAATACAATTATATTGATATGTATTGATATTCTACAATGATAATTAAAGTATTTATCTTCTTATCTTTGCGTACATTTTGAAGGCAAAATAACGACAAAATCAAATGACCTGCTTTACAGGAGCCTGTATTATGTGAAACATAATACGGCTTACTTCCCAAGATCTAGTAACATCCGATAGCCTTTAAATTATTCCGAATTGGGTTAAATTCTTAATAATAATCTAATAATTTGAAATTTTAATAATCCAATGCAGACATTTTTCGGATAGAGACCCATAGATGAACAGAGTAAAGATGACATCAGTTTGAAGGAAAATTTAGATTAACATATCCAAACTTCAATAATAATTATTAAACACGATAAATAAGATGAAATATAACGGTGAAAAAAATTTTATAGCATGCGATATTTCGAATTTTTATTAATTAAGATACATCATCGACCAATCTGGCGAGTCTCATCGAAAAAACAAAAATAAAAGGGAAAGGGACAATTTCATCCCAAAGGTAATAATCAGAACTTCCCGAAAGAGGCTTGAGAAAAGGAAGGAGAAGAAGGGAAATAAAAGGAAAAAGAGTAAAAAAGAGTCAGAATTTTTATTTAGAGATTACCAAAGGATGTCATTAACGAATTCACCAACTTCTAAAGCCCTGCTATCGCGATTGTGACGTGACTGTCCGCGTTAATCCGATCGAATTGAAGTCGGGTGCTTCAGCCCTGGGCTGCGCATGCTTCAGACAAATTGAAAATTATATCCCCCATTATATCAGTACACCTGCGGCCCTTCAGGCAGAAGGGATATACGCTGAAGGATCAACGAGCTTCCCCTTTCCCTTTCACTCTCTCTCTCTCTCTCTCTCTCTCAAAAAAAAAAGGAGAAATAACGAGAAAACGAATATCAGGAACATCATAGCACCGGAAGAAGGGTCCTGACGGAACTCACCTGCTGCTCGACCCTGTATAAGCGTGCGCCTATAGTCATCGGTTTCACGTTGCCTGCTCGGTCGATTCCTGCTAGGTAGCTGCCTGGTTTGCCCAGGGTCTGGTCCAATCTTCTCTGCAACTCCTGTGAAAAGGAGCAGGGTGAACGCTTAGCGGGCTAATGTAGCATAGAATTGAGAACAACAGGGGTATTTTGGGGGTTTTATAAGCTTTCGGGATTTTATACCCAGTTTTATACGTAGCTTTGAGATTCACGCGAGGTAATTCAAGTAATTTAACAACATATTCATGAATTTACATTGAAAATCGAAAATCGAGTATTTCTGAATAGTTGTGTAAAGTTTAATGTTGTTTCAGCATAAACATACTTGTGTGAAATTTAATACGTAATATTCAAATTCGAATTTAACAGAGTAATTCTGACGTTGAATAAATTTTGTTTTCACAGAAATATTAATGAAAGCATCGTCACATGGAAATGGACTCGAGAATCTTCTTCTTTCCTTGAAAGATTAATAAAATCGATAAGGATCATTTTCGACGTAACCCTGCAATTATTCCCTCTCCAGATTGATATGTAACAGCATATTCATGATCATTCGCGATCTTGCTTCGGATACCAGGGTTTCCACGTTACAGGTAATCGTGGGTCGAATTTGCTCGATCTTAGTACACAATTATACGCACGCAGGTGTGCTCATAGGTTCGACATTTTGCCAAGCATCATGCACAGATCATCGCATCGCATGGCATCGCGTTAAACGTTAAATTGGATCGCATCGTGTGCCAAATTTTCGAATGCGAATATCGCATTACCCGTTCATTATCCCCGATCGAAAAACAACATTTAACGTTCCGTGCGCGCATTATCGGTGAAATCCAATCAATTGTCACAGCAACGTTTAATTAGCCCTGTTAATTAATCCCATTTCACGGGTAACAAGTAACCGTAAATACCGCGAACTTGTTCCGATGCCTGTGATAAATTAATATTGGCTCAGGTTAACGACGAATTACAAAGCGGAATCTCGCGGGTTAATATATTATTGAAAACTATGGGGAACATCGAGCGGAAAGATAATGCTGATCGAGTTATCAACACCGACGACGCGTTGTACGAAGCGATTAAAGTCCGCGAGGCAACTATATTGGCAACCATATTCACCGTGGTCGCCATGATTTTTCGGGCAGTTAGGATAATCTGACGATTACGAACGAAAGTTAGTCGATAGTTTAACAGGAATAATATCTAATCTAAAAAAATTTCAAACAATCTTTCAGTTCTATAAAAATTAAACTGGTCTTGACTTTTTCAAATCGTAATACCTAGTTTAAATGCAATACAAAAGAAGAAAAATTTCTTTTCCTTTAAATTTTTAACTTAGACCACTTTCATAATTACTGGCATAATTCATAGGATGAATTTTTTATGAAATTTATTCGACATTAAATTATTTGAATATAATGAATATTTAAACGAATTAAGGTACTTTCAGTAAACGTGATAGATATGTATTAGGTTAACTTAATAAATATGCAAATTTAATATTCGATTTCTTCTACAATAATTAGATTACAATGGATCGAAGTGATATTACTTGGTTTGAATGTTCTTCAGATTAGAGTTTATTATAGTCACAGATTCAGGACTTTGACCCTCTCGGTCTCAATAAGTACAAACATGCACAAAAGCGAAATTTCAGGGAGGAAAATTAAAAGTCGGGATTATACTCGAAGGAAATTCTACACCGTTGCCAAAGTTTTGCTCGCATGTGTCGACACGCCCCTTCGAAAAGAAATCGCACGGAGGGTGCAATAGAAGGGTGCTGAGTCTGCTCATTAGGCGCACTGATTAAACGACCGAAGATTTCTGGTAACAGCCAATCACCTTCTTTGCCAATGTAGTCATTCGATTTCAAACTTTTTAAGGACGCCAGAAAATAGCAGGAATTAAGAAAAACCCCAATAATTAGGAAACAAAGGTAATAATTGTGGGAAACACTATTAATTGCAAAAAATAATACCTAAAAATTGCCAAAGCTACTAAAAATCACGAAAGTATAGCAAATATTATGAAAAATAATAACAATCGTGAAAAATACTGATAATTATGAAAAACAGTATACAAACGTGATGGCAAATTATAGTGACGTGTTAATTTCTACACCGTTAAAATAATTCTTTCTTTTAAAAATATACAATTCGTCGAATTTTTCGGGTCGATATCGGAATCAACGCACTATGTACGAATTTTGCAGAGCCCGAAAATTCATAGCACAGGCACCCGACTCGAATTGATATCAATCAAACTGGATCACACAGAGAATTGACGTCAATCGTATGGACGCGATATTGAAAATCTCAAGAACAGCGAAATAGTAAAGCAGTATCGGTCTACTGTGATAGCATAATGAATCGACATACACCATAAAGTTGAGAATTATGAGAACAGCGAAACGCCATTTTAGCGTGGCAGCATGAAGGCGGCTTAAGGATGTTATCGATTTTCCGGACACACAACAGCGACTGGTGTTGTTCAAAACAGACTACTTGAACAAAGGACACGACGTTCGAGCGAGTCGGATCAGCACGATCGACGATTTCGTTCCGAATAATCGCACCACTCAGCGTCGTTTCCGCTCGAGCTTCGCAGCTTGGAGCTTTCGACCAGTTTTCAATGTCGCGAAAATTAAGAAAAATTACGAGTGTCCGCCTTGTAAATAACGAGCATATTACACCGCCTTCGTGGAATTTCTCGTGTCAATAACGAAATTAATAATTAAATATGTATATATATGTAGGATCAGATTTTGGGTGGATTGATTTAAGATAGTATTGTTGGCTTCTTAATAGAATAAAATAAGCTTATATATAGACTGACGGCTATGAAACAAGAGAGATTCGCTATGGGCACGATCTTCTGATCTTTGTTAGACTGACTTGGACTTCTTACATACTCTCTGATTGACACACTGGTACACTCTTCGAGATTGCAAAAAGACTGGCTTAAAAAACTCTTAAAGACTGACTCGCCCGCGCCCTTGCACTCTTATTTAAACAATTCATTCTGTCCTTTTTCATACCCAGGCTTTCTTTTCCAATCATGCCCCTTTGCCATGCAACCTCGGTGGGCCAGGTACTTCAACCACTCTGGACGCATCCCTAAACTTTCACTCGGCCCTACCATAAATATTCTTTGCAATCAATCCTTTTACACACGGTCACTTTCGTTCTAAGCCCAAACACTCTTGACATTCTTTCAGAGCCGTACTCATTCCAATCCCACATATATTATGTAAATATATTACGTTAAATGGAAGATTCGTGATGAAATTGAAGAAAAATTTGTAGGTAACGTGCCTTCACATTTCTAATTTTCCTCTCTGCGTCACTGAGGAGATACTGACTCGTAATTGAAACTTAATAGAACCGTTCGTCTACTTTACGATAATTTATCCTCGTTTGATATGTACATACTCTTTCCTTCATTCCTGTCAGACAATAGAGAATAATTTCTAAAATACATTCGTGTAATTTTAAACAAATGATTGAAACACACGATCATTCCTTTGATATCCCAGAGTCTAAAATCTATATAGAAACGTAAGTTGTTTTCTAGCTCCAGTGCTAATTTCTCCTGAAGTCTGAATCGCATCTAATTTCTTAAGCTAATACCCAAAATATTTTTAATATGAATATAATAAGTATAATATAATAAATACAATATAATAAAAGAGAAGTTAGCATTAAAGTTAGGAAACAATTTAAAATATCAACGAAGCTAGCCAAGGTACACT